CGGTAGCCTCTCCTGAATCTGACTCCGATTAAAAAATAATAAAAAAAGACCCGCTGCAATGTGTAAAAAGTCTATATCTGTATGAATGTGTAAAGAAAGTGTTCTTCCACCTCCTCCTCACAACATCTGACTACCCAGCATAATTGGTGTCTGCTCCATTTTCATTTTTTTATAGTACAGTACGGTTATTTTATGCTGCGGAATGAATTATATGTTTTAACATGTATTTCTATGGGAAAATGCGTTTCGTATAACGGACGTTTCACTTAACGGACGTGCACCTGGAACGGATTAAGTATGTTGTACGAGGCACCACTGTACTAATAAACTAATTACATGGGATATACTAATATCCTATACTAATAATGTATTTTTTTCCTACTTTTTGGTTATCCGACCAACATGCTGTCCGACCAATATCCGTCCCCAATTGATGCTTTACTGTATTTACAAAATTGAAATTGAAAGAACACAGAAAATTTATTAAGCAAAACCAGGACAATAAATTTGTTATCAGAAAAGTTAACACTTCTGTGACAAGTTCACAGTCATTAGAATAAGGAGCCAAGGTTTGCTAACATTAATAGACATTCCATACAATATTAATTCTAATAATTATACAGAAAAAACTTTAAAACTTGTTGGAGCACCATGTCCCACTGCTTTAAACTGGAGAACAGAGAAGTATTTGATCACAATGCATCATCATACACTTTCAAAAAGACAGAAATACAGCTATTTCCAACTAACATTCTTGTAAAGAGCCCAGAGTACACTTTTATTTCTTTGGGTTCAGTTATCTTAAAAGGTTAATCCTCTTTTTCAAAAGAAAACATATCTTGCCGAGTTTCTTGGTGTTCTTCATTCAAGAGTTCTTGGCGTTCTTCTGTTGTCAGATCCGTTTCAGGTTCCATTATGAACTTTTCGATGTTCTTTATTTCTCAGACGTGATTTTTGTTACTCCTTTAGCTGTTTGAGTCTTCTTGATTATACAGTATTTTTCTTAAATAAGATTGAACTGCGGCCTACTGTAGACCTGTTCACACCATATTGCCCAACAACATTAGGCATCTTCTGCCTACTCTCTACCTTTGCTATTATACTCTCGCCTTTTGAAAAGAAAAACAGACGCAAAACTTAACGAGTGCCTACCCAACAGTCTCGCGAATGCATATAAGAATTGTTTTGTCAGAAAAATAAAAGGCTGGAATTACAAGGGAGAGTTTCAAAGTTCAGAGGAATACTATCTGATCGGCATATACTGGCTTGAGCGTCGATGTCTCCCGCACTCCGAAAAGTTTCGAATCGTTGCCGAAGACAAGGGAAAACCAATCGGTATTCATTATTTTACGTCGCTTCTTCTTGTGTTTGTTCTGTGGGGTGTTCGTTGTCCAAACATAAAAATCTTTCACAAAAGTGTTCATTAACCGTTCACCCACTGTATTTCAAGAAAAATATNAAGCGTCGCGATCTGGCAACATTGAAACAAGTTTCGAGAGGGACCATCTGTATCGACAGAAGGCGAGAAGAGAAAATTTACATAGTTAAGTACTAATAGTTCACGAAAATTATTATTTTCGCGAACTATTAGTACTTAAGTATGTAAAAATTTATTACATTTCCTGTTGTACGAGGGTTTTACCCAATTCTCGAACCGTGTCAGAGTGAATCCATGCTATAAAAGTACCGTGTTATACGGGGGATGGTACCAATTCTCGAACCGTGTTAGAGCGAATCCATGCTATAGAAGTGCCGTGTTATACGGGGGTTACCTGTATCTACCGTGTTATGGGGGGGGTCGACTGTATACATTTTGTTGGGGAAATTTTTTTTCAATATACAGTATTTTTCTAATTTCTGTAACTTAAGTGAAATTGTGGTAATTTGTTCATTCCTGATAAGTAAAAGGTTCAGATGTATTAGAATGTTTTTTCCTGTTTAAGCTCAAAACATTGAACTTTGGAGTTTATCCTTTCCAATCTAATTGGAATAAAATACTGAGTAATTATTTTTACTAGCAAATTAAGATCAAATTAAAATACAAGTTTGTATTAGTATAGATAAAAATCTATAAAATATAGATTGGGTCTGAATTTAGTAGTAAATCAAGAATTTTGTATTCATTTAAATGTTTTTAGTTGTGTGGTTATTTTTGTAATATGGATTTTAAAAATACCTCATTTCTACAGCTCTGTTCTAACTGTGGAACCAAAGTTTTTCAATTAAGAAAACAAACATTTTCAATACAGCTTTATTTATATTGTCACTGCATTTCCATCACTAGATTAAGCTTCAGGTGGTTTATTATACACAAAAGTAAGACAGCATTTACCACAGTACTGTCTATCAAAATGAGATGCCATGAATACTCCTGCTCCACATTCATCATTTGGACACTCTCTTCTGAGTCGAGTTATTTTTCCATTTTCATCAACCTGGAAAAACATTAGTATTATATAAAGCATCTTTAATTCAGACTTAAGAAATTTTAATAAAATCAACACATCTCTCAATTTACATAGTAATTTGATTTATACAACTTAGAATCAAAATCACAAACTGAGACTAACATTTATAAGGAACTTGGAAACAAATTCCAAGGTTTCCATATGTTAGTCTGGTACTGTTAAAGTTGTTCGTGAATTCAATTTACAGTATAAAAACAGAGAACAGACGTATCCCAACTTATAATGGGAGAACTATTTGTACATTTCCCATCATCACTTTTGCTTTACATCAATTCCAAAACATTTCTATTCTGTCTCAATGGTTAAATAATTTGTTGATAAATACTAAAAATAATGAAACTTTGTAATGAATTTAAGTATTTGGTTGTTCGGAAAGTAAGTTCGTTTTTCCCCCATGGAAAAAAATGCAATATTCTTATAATAAATAAATACTTTATTGAATTATATGTTGACCATTTTGGTCAAATACCTATTGTCATCGTTTCTGGTAGTAGCACGATTTCACATTCATAAAAGTTTTGATCGTTGCTTACAAAAAAACCGATTCAAGTGATTTTTGACATTGTCATTTCAAGTAAATGTCTTACAGTTAAAAAAAATTGTATAGACTAGAACAAGTAATAATCCGAGTGTGCTCGATCTGGCAAATATGGTTGGTGTGATAGCACGTCCCATCTAAGTTATAACAGTTTCTGACCAGTTACCAAACTTATGTGAAATTTCACATTATCGTGGTAAAACACTATACCTGTTTTTTTTTTTTTTTTATCAATTCTGGCTGGCTTTTTCTGTTTGATGATATTACGCAATTTGTTTACTCGAATGCAGTACACTTTCAAATCAATTGTTAAATTGTCTGGTAAAAGCTCCAAAAAAAATTTCCTTAATATCCCACCAAATAGAGCATTTCTCTTTAAGAACTCGTGAAATTCATATATCGAGCTTTGAAACAAAACCAATTTGTTTCAAGTACTCATAAACAGTTCAATTTGACAAATTTAATCTCTTAGTGATTTCACATGTTATTCTGCAGTTTGCTTCAATCAGTACCTTTATTTTGTTTTCATTGGCTTCAATTGGCCATCCATAACATGATGCATCTTCAAGACTGAAATTGCGATAACGAAATTTTGTAAACCAGTTTTGGCACTGTCGTTCTCTCAACACATATTCTCCATACATGTCACACATTTTTTTTCTTGCTTGAACAGCATTCTTACTTTTTCGGTAATAAAAGAGCAAAATGTGCCAAAAATGCTGCTTCTGATCTTCCATATTTGAAGGGACACAAAAAATAAACAATTGCACAAAATCAAACAAAATTTTTTACAAATAATCCATAAAATGCTAGCTGTCAAAATATATAATGATAATACGGTTTAGAACGAAAGCGAGGGGAAAAACATGACTAATCCGTCTAGTGGAAAAAAAATGAACTTACTTTCCGAACAACCCAATAATATATCTATTTTCAGCATCTGATAGGAAATGATATCACAATACTCTTTTCAGAATTACTCAGAATTTCTAGAACACATCATTGGAATTAAATTCCATAGCAATACTCTGAGAGATGGAGGATTATCAGTAGATTATTGGCTAATGTGTGTGAAGCAATCACAATATTGGATTAATAATTCTACATTTTTGTAGATTTCTCCTATAGTTTAACAACAAAAATTTAATAAAGTACGAGTATGTTCATTTAACAAAACATGTTTATTTCAGAGACTATTCTAATTTACAACTCAATGATTCTAGCACATAACAGTTCATAATAAACTTCCTAAAATTAAAAAGTTTACAGTATACCACTTACCAATGGCATTTGAGTTTTGAATAGAGATGAAAATCATTTTGGTATTTAATACTGCTAATCAAATATATAAATTATATCTATTTAAACACTAATGTCAAAAAATGTGTGTAATAAGATTTTTTATTTATTACCATTTTTTATAATAAAGATAATTTTTAATATCAATGAGTATCATAAATATTAATCTATCTTCTGATACAATTTGACTTAAACTTCATTTGGATTTGTTCACTAAAAGAGGATAACAGTGCTTCACCATATTTCTAAAATTATTCATTAAGAGCATACAAAGATTTATTAAAATTGTGTCCTGTATTTTCACACACTACAAATACACACTAATTGATTTCTAATATATTACATTTTGGTGTAAAAACTAAAAAGTAACAATTCAAATTTTTACAAATAAAAATAAAATTTATGTTTTTCTACTTACTTTATAGAATTTAAGAACAGCTAATTTAACCTTCTTCTTCTTATGCTTATTTTTCTTAGGGGTTGTGTAATTCTTCTTCTTGCGCTTCTTAGCACCACCTCTTAATCTTAAAACAAGATGTAAAGTGGATTCCTTTTGAATGTTATAATCAGACAATGTACGTCCATCTTCTAATTGTTTTCCAGCAAAAATTAAACGTTGCTGATCAGGAGGGATACCTGTAAAATTTAAAAACCATTAAAATTCATCAAATACTTAGTAAACATGCTTTAATTATGCAAATGTTATATGAAATATAAAAAAGGTTCAGACGATTTAATATTAAGAGATTTTTAGAAATCAAATGTACTTTTCTTGTAAAATCTTTTAAAAAGTAAACAAGCATTATCTGATGACAGCATTTAAAAGTCATCAGATGTTGATGTTTGCTTCCAAGTACTTTAAATATGCAAAGAAGAAACACAACTGAATTAAAATTATTCTATTTGATTCACAAAATTTACCACTGTTTTTCTCAACAGTTATGTTCAAAGTTCCTGGAAATTTGGTCTCTGTTAGTTTGGGTTTTTTTGGCACAAAAGCCATACATACAGACCAAGCTGTGCTATGAAATTTAGTATCAAGAAGAAAGTTTATTAGATAGGTTGAGGAGCAAGTACAAACATTAAACTTGTATGGCAAGCAGAATAACACAGTTTACATTTTAAGTCCAAATAAGAGATCTTGCAGCACTTGTTTACAACATCATGTGACTCAGTGAACATCACACATTGAATCACAGGAAATTTGTTGAAAAAAATTTGCAGATACACTTAACATCAAGGGTTACCAGCAAAGATAAATAAACAAATTAAACTGTTTAAAAGTATTTATAGGATGTTTAATCACTAAATAATTATTTTTAATTAGCATTGTCTCCCCTACCATATGATCAGACAATAGGACTACTTCATATTTTTGTCGAGGGAAGTAGTGGCTTATGTAAATTCGAAAGCAGCTCAGAAAATTAATTTTTAGAAAATTTACAAACGTATTACACTGTTGATGTTAGAAGATGCTGTGGAAAAACAAACCTACCTTAAGATAAGCTATTATGAAGACAAATATATGTAAATTCTATATGCACTTCATATAACTTGCTAAAAAATTGAATAATTAAATAATTTCTGGATTAAAATTGTCTGTTTCTTTACAATATTATTCATAAATGCTTAAATAATCATTATTTTAATAAAATACATCATAATTTTAACCACAAACACAAAAAAAATGAAGTTTAAGCCGAACTTCTACTCGCCATGTTAGACATAGTGAATGCCATTAGTCAACCTTCTAGACTTGCCAGATGGCGGCACTCATCTGTCCACCGTTCACGTTTTGGGCTGAATACGCGCACGTCAACCTCTCTATTTACACAAGAAAGGAGGAAGTTAACTAAATTTTGGTTCATTTTAATAAAAATGAGCCAAACTGTACTTACTGTACTTGTTTATTTCTATATACATTGGTGCCTCATATAACGTACTTAACGCGTTTAGTTCTTCGCCTGAGTTAACTCGGGCAGGCTACATAGCCTTACATAAAACTCGGTCCTTTCGCCCCCCC